CAAAAGGCCAACCTATATGACCTATAGCAATAGGGTGTGTCATACGGAGGCGAATTTTTTTTTTTTGAGTTTGAAAAATCGGCCCATGGTATTAATGATGTAGTTCTATGTGCAGAATCATGTGATATCTTCAGATTTGAAAAGTTTTCGTTTTTTGCTAGGTAAATTTTAACTTGAAATCTTATGAAAATTCAGTATTCCCACCCTTTTACCAACACCACTAAATAGCTTATTTAAAGTAAAGTAAATGTATCAGGTTAATTTTATTAGGATGAAAATGATCCAGAATAGTGAAACCAATGATCTTGACACATTTATTAAATTTAATATTCCTTTAGAAACAAAAATCATCAAATACACAAAAAACCGGTTTTATCTACTACTTAATTCGGTGTTGCTGCACAATCATAGAGAACATGTCTTGCTTCTGTTTCTACTCATCACCTCCCTGCTGACCACCTGAGCTCGGATGTAGCCTACCCTCCTCTCCTGGCTGTACACGTGACTGCTGGCCTCGCTCACTTGCTGTACACAACGCTCTATACTCTGGGTGTGCGAGGGCCAGGCAGGGACATGCATGGGGCTGTCCAGGAAAGCTCTGACTTGAACATTGGTGAGGCTGCAGGTAAGAGGGGGCTCACTGCCAGCCTGGATGTTATCCAGATCTATGAGACCAGTGAGGGTCTTGGCACCTAGATTGACTTCAGGAGTCTTCCTGACCCTGAAGGAATCGTCACCAACTGATTCGTCATGCCCAGATCCTCTCATAAGTCTCATATCCAAGATCTTTTTGACTGCCACTCTTCTCTCCTCCTCTCATCTCATCTAGAGCACTGGCCTGCAGAACTGCCTCGGATGAGCATACTCAGGAAGATTCCTCACAGTCTGCTCCACAATCTGAACAACCTTCCTTGGCTTGACCTCAGGAGTTCAAGCCAAGAGAACATGCTCGGACCTCGGAGAACGACATTCTGTCTTTTGGTGTTGAACCAATTTGGCAAGTAGACACTCACGATGAATTGGACAATAAGTCTCAGGTTGTGAAGCTGGTTCCCCTTCAGTTTATGATGAGCGACCCAAATTCTGCAGAACCTGAGAGCCGTTGTGAGCCACCTAGAATGTGAGACTGGACCTATCTGCAGGTAAGCAAGTCTCTCAGGCATGACCCCAGTTTTGATGGCACTGCAAATCATGTAACCATAGTACTGGTCAGTACTCAGGTCGTCAATGACAGTATGTGCAAGCTCAACGAGTGGAGGGCCAACTGTGATTTTTTCAAAGCTCGGATATATTTCTAACTCAGTGGCAGAGTCCAGCATCTTGCCAAGAGGACCAGACCATCTGTTGTTTGAAAGAGTCTTGCCATCCAGCTCCTGGATCAGATGTCTGAGTGGCAACTCGTTGGTGTGGAGGTCACAAACAATCCAGACCAGCTTCCTCCCACTCTTCCGCTCTATCCACTGTATGACCCCCCCTTGCCACCCCAGTTCGTGTTATGCTGCCCTCCAATGGCCTGCTGCAGGGTCTGGTCTACGTTCCTCTCTCTGAGCCAGTCTGCCAATGTTATTCGCCACTATCTCAGCTGGTTTTCTGATGTCATCTTTCTCTGGAGTGAAATGCCACAAATACTTCCCTCCTGGTTCACTGCAGCAGGAGTAGTGTTCCTCCTTCACCATGGCAGGGAACAACTTGTCAGAATCTCCAACTTTCATGAACACTTTAGTGTCATCCCTTCTCCCATCAAAGAACAAACAATTGATTCCATTTTCTCTTATCCCCTTATCAAACTCCTCTTTTAGGTTACTGACAAGTTTCTCCTGAGCTCTCCTTACTTTGTTATGATCTATCATCAGGTGAACATCATCAGGTGTTATCAAACCACCGTCAACCCAGGCAGCTGTTGCTATCTCTGCAGTTTCTCTGAGACCAGTGTGGTGTCGCATGCTGGCCAGAGCTATGCTCGGGATATCTTTCCTATTTCGAATCTTATGTCTGGAAGGTTTGGGATCATTATTTTCTGGGTTAGGGACAAAGTCACCATTCTCCTGGTCAGCACTCGGATCAGCCATGGGGAAGTCATTAAACTCTGAATCAGCTTGACTCCAATCATCGGCCTTTTTTACCTCACCCTGGGCCTTCTCAAGTCTTTTTCCTCGGCAACTCTTCTCCTCTTCTGTCTCTCTGAGGCAGCCTCCTGTCTCTTGGACTCCAGAATATCTTGGCTAGAAATCATGAGAGCCCCTATACTGCCAGTCTTCTCTCTCTGTGCTTTGACAAATGCCAGTTCGATCACAGGAATCTTCAGTTCACGCTTGCAAATACAGGAGATGTGGGCCTCGGATTTACAGTCACGATCGCATCCAAACTCAGGACAGAGAACAATTGGGCACTTGCAAGTAATTATGTCAAATAATTGGTCCAGTTGCTTGGCAAAGCTGTCCTTAACTGCAAGTTTTCCTCTCCCAAGAGAGATATTTCTTGCCTTTTCCCAACTGGCTAGCAGTCTCTCACTAATCTTCTTCTGACTTGTTATGACTGGAGGCTTGAACTGAGCGTTAGCCAGAGTGTACTGTGCCAAGACAGCTTTGGTCATATCACTGGCAATGTCTTTGTTTGTGTAAGTTCTTTGGTTCTTTTCACTGATTTGCCTGATTAAAACACCGTATCTCAAAGCATCTCTCAATGTAAGCAACTCCGACTTCAGGAGCTCTCTCCCAGACCCAAGATAGTGACTGAGATGGCTGGATTTTCGGTTCCTCGTCCTGACACAAGCAGCCATCGCAAATATTATCAACTTATAAATGCATCAGAATCTGAAACAGAAAAAAAATATTGTTAGTTGGGTTGTTAAAGAATGAAGTCAGAAAGCAATGTTCACTATTTAATTGTAATGCACTAATGCAGCTGTACGTTAGATTTTCGATAAATTTCACGCTAAAATTTACCTAGCAAAAGGTTGCAAAATATTGAAACTGAAATTATTTTCTGTTTATATACACTAAATTCTACCAAAAAAGTGATGGGCCATTAGTTTTAGCTGATCTTCCCTCCTATGACACACCCTACTATAGCAAACCTATCCACCAATCACGTCCCTCGTTACACGACCAATACCCATTCATTCATAAATAGTTAATCTACTACTGTGACGGTGTCGTTTGGATACACGGGTTACCACAGGGGATGTAGGAACATGTTTCCGCAACTGTACTAATTAAATTTTTCTACCCGATCACTTGGGCTAACTCTTTAACTAGGCCTCTTTTTCATGTGGCTGATGGACTAATAATATAAATTAATTTGTTTATGGCAAGAAAAAACTAATTCGTCGTTTACCATCAAAAGCTATAGCCAAATTATACTTAAAGTAGGTTAGGTTAAGTTGGGGTCAGGTAAGATTAGTTTTTGTATGAGGTTAAGCAGTTATTAGTATATTGATGAGCTGCATGATCATTTATGACCAGTCAGAAGTTTCGAAAACAAAAATACATAGAACTTATCGCTAATCGGTATTTAAAGTTATTCATAGTTTGCAAAAACGTCAGTTGATTTTAAAGGTGAATCGGAAATTATCCATATTTGGCGTAACACACGCACCAATATGCTCAGGTGTGGGACCGGGGCAGATTACTGACTCAGAGTTCTCTCACCTGGACACCTGGATGAACACCTGTATCCACCCCACCTACCCCTTACCCCTAAAGCCTCTCACTCTCTCCTTCTCTGCTCCCTTATTTCTCTCTCCTCCGCCTTCTCACTATTCATACAACTTCCATTATCGGTGAAGCAGGTATTCGATCAAGAGCTGTTCGGTTGTTACGAATTTCACTTTATCGACGTAAGTTTAATTCGCACTTTATAACCCTTTAACGGAAACGCTGACACTGCAACAAACTCATTAACGTTGTATTTAGGTCGTTAAGAGAAGCATCAAGAAATTATTTATTATTTTAGGACATGATGAAAAAGAATGTCAGATATAATCGTAGGTACAGTAGTAGGTAGTAGGCAGCTATCAAACAGAGAGGTTTTACTGTCAGGGATGAAATTATGACCAAGTCCCAGCTTGCTGATCTGTCTGATTTCTTGCCTAATTTACACACAATTGCAGGGTCTCAATTGTATCTCTTACTTTGACAACACAACATACATATCGTTTCTCACTCTTGATCTGTTTTATTTTTCAATTTCTGTATTTATTTTTGACGGTACATTTTGTTTCTTCTTTTGTCTTTTTTGCCCCCTCCCTCCAGGTCCGGTGTGGGTTGGTGACCTCTGCCCAGGTGGGCTGACCCCCATTAAAAAAAGTGGGAGGAAGCAAACATAATCATTTCAAATTTCTTCTCTTTATATTAAAAAGTGAACCTTCAAAAAATTGTGGATGCGCTCAGGGGGGCCAACACCCCAATTTAGACATTCGTAAACATATTTTCAGGACTATTTACAGAACCATGTCAAATTTCAACTCTGTCTTAAGAAAGGCTACCGTGCACAGCAAAGAAACAGTCAAAAATATGTTTTTCGTGAGGGGATTTCCCCTATTGGGACGGGGAGCCATCCAATGGGGTTATGCTCACAATATTCCACTTGTGAGAATTCTTACAAGAATGCACATCTGCTTCCCAAATTTCAACTCCCTATCTTCAAAACTGTAGCCGTGCAAAGCGAATATCCACACAAACAAGCTCGCACTATGATTTATAAATATATGTGGGTAATTTATAGATTTAGTGTGTATTCATATGAATCTCATGATATTTCATAACTTAATAAGTGTTTCTGTATAAGGAATTAGCCCAGATACCTTCAAAGTTCACAGCTGGGAGTGCATCTCCTAGTACATTGTTTTTTATAGGTAAGATAATTTCACTTATCTTACTTTTGTACATCACAAGGGTAATAAGAATTAGCTGGGTATCATTAACCAGAATAATAATCAACTTGTCCATTAAAAAGAAATATATAAAACAAAGGCAATGTGATCGATTTCTCTTTGTCAGGAACTCCAGAAGAACGTGGCCTTCTGAAGTGGAATGCTCACCTACAGAACCCAGAGAATGAAGAGGAAGCCAAGGTGCAGAGTCAACAGTTAAACTGTTACAATCTTCCTTTCGGCATGGATGCCATCAAGAAGTAAGTCACCTGGAGAAAATTTATTGCTTGTGGAGTGGTTTAGATGATATTAATCAGTTTATTGGAAAAGAGATACAGAGAGATTGCATATAAACCTAAAGCAGAAACCACTTGGCAGTAGTGGTTAATAGAACAGAAGATAGAGAAAGATGCAATCTATAGTATGAAGAAATGGGAAAGTGCAGCAGAGTGAGTGATGACTAGGGTTTAAAATAATATTAATCCTAGCAAAAAATTTATTTTCAGTTGTACAGTGGATTGTAGGATGACTCGTGGAGAGTAAAGACGGGGGTGTGGAAGCAGTTTGACTAGTAGTGGAAGTTTGCGGTGGCGATGTCTATCACTATAGTATAGTGATAGGCATCATTTCCTGTAAATTTTAGTTTGTTCATTATGGATATGAAAATTTGGCAGATTCCGGATTGTCTATCATTACTATGGAGGCGATCACAAAATAGTAGGAATGAGCCAGCTTACAGCCCCTATTTATTATAATGTTATTTGCTTCCTTATCCTCTTTTCCAACGATCAACTTACTAGCAGTCGGTCAATTTTGTTTCACACTGTTGGTCAAGTCTGGTCTTAAATATGCGCACAGTCATTTTTCTCACATTCTCTGGCTGGTCATTCCAAGAGATCGCAACCCTTACTCCAAAGAAGTTATCTCTGACAGTTTTCTGTATTTTTGGCTTCTTTAGCTCCAAGATATGTATACAAGACAAATTTTGTCCTTTGATTTTTTTTATTTCTATTAAATCACCCCTTACCCTTCTATAGCATAAACTTGATATAAGGAAACGTTCTTTTCTCTTTTGGTACTTGAGGTGCATAATTAATTGTCGGCATCAGATTTTCGCCCTCTTTTGGACGTTCTCAATCAATTGTCAGTCTTTAACATTTCTCGGGGACTAACAGAATTACTCAAAGTTGGGAAACACCACACTTTTAAAAAGTCATATGAGGGATGGATCATTTAAAGCATAAACAGGTGTTTCGGTGGCATGCAAATGCTCAGTAAAAAGTATAAACCACTCTAGGGTAGGTACAGAGAGTGCCAGGTCATACACTAATCTAGTCAGTTGGTAAGTTTTACTAATGAGTGTATTACCTTCTGATTCCAATGACTGACTGACTTTGTTTATGTGATTTAGGACCCTGTTTTGTATTACTTCAGTTTTTTTTTTTTACAATATTCATGCAGTCCCAAATAAAGTACTGGAAACTATACTTATAAAGTTGAAGAGATCACTTTACCAATGAGGATATTTTGAAAATCAATTGTTTATTCAATTGTGGCAGGTTTGTCGAGTTACTGTCTTAGGTCTCTGAGAGTAACCATAGCTGCTTCATGATGGATTGCAATGAAACTCATATGCAACGGTATGTGCAAAAATCAATGGAGATCGTACTTGACCGTTACAACATCTTCCACAATCAAGACACGTCCAACTGGTGCAAATAATGTAGCTGGCTACAGAACTTCCATCAATGGAAAAGTCCATGCAGTGGTATTGTATAGTAGTAAGAGTACAATGATCCACTCCATTCTGAAAGAGGCAAACTCGTCTTCATAGTTTCAGATGATAATTGTTGGATGCTTGTGTATGGGAGGCAATGCGGTTGGACCAGTGTTTCTCAAACTTTTTCACTTCATTCCCCCCATGAGGAACTCTCAACATCCTCGTGGCCCCCCTTCAGTTCTCTCCCAAGCCCCTCACAAATAATGATGAAAATAAACTGTTTTGGTTCTCCTCCTTTATTTGAATGTTTTCAATCATCAAACAGTGTGCCTATTTTGTTACAATTCTATGAAAAGAATGACATTATGTCCTTTCAGTCAGTCGACTGATTCGAGGTTGAGTTGAGTCACTGATAAAGCACATCTCATGTCTGAGTATACATGTAACCGGTTTCGGCTTTTATTCTCTATTTGAAGATGGGTGGAGAAACCAGATTCACATAAATAAGTAGTAGAAAATGGCAAGAGGACTCGAAGTGCGATCTCACTAACTTTTGGATATGACTGATACATTGACCATTAGAATACAGTCGGGGATTTTTCTTCATACAGGTCTCTGGGCGCAGTATCGTTCTGAGATCAAGGAATTCGTCTGAACAGGAACTAGAATCGTGCAATCTAAGCGAATCCATCGGGAAAAAAATAACCATTGCACCATACTTTGTAAATATCAAAACTGTACCGTATGGGTATTATGATTACACACAATGACAAAATAAAAAAGACGAATACAAAAAAAGATTTCTCCCCTAACAAGGCAAAGTAACAAAAAAAAATGTTGAATCAGAGTTTCCACATTTTCTCCAAACATATACTACTTTACACTAGCCTGCCATGGCCCCCCTAAAATCTTGCCGTGACCCCCTTAGGGGCCATGGCCCCCAGTTTGAGAAACACTGGGTTGGACCTTAAGGTGACAATGATCCAACAGGAACGCCCGAAAATCTTTTATTATGTCTGCCCATAGTTGCTCATTAGAAGATTAATTAAAGGGAGCAAAAAAAAAAATGGGATTGAACTATTGGGTGTAGGAGTCGCTCATACCCCACTCTGGTAAAGAACCAGCCCATCACCTGTGAAGAATTGAATGTGCACGTTTAATGACGATCCAATTTCAAATTCCTCATTTGAGGTTAAAAGATGGGAAATTTATACCCATCCGAGCAATTTGAAAGTGGTTCGTTCGAGTCCCCACACCACAACATGGTAACGCAAATTCGTGCACTCGATGGAGTTGTACCTTGTGGGGGTATGTATTAGTGAAAAATTAAAGTGGGTCCGATAGGTATGAGTGCTTAATAACAAGATTCACTTCCTTCAATCTTCATTGTTAATGTAAATACCCGGATGTTTCTAACATTTAGCTGAAGGTAAGGAAGCCTTCATTACGTTGGAACAGGTTATACGCTTCCTTGCTATTAGTACATCTAAGCTGTATCCTCTAACGTTTTGCCGATTCTTAATTACTGTACTCTGAAAAGTTACAGTAGCATCATCTGCAAACGAATAATTTTCAGTTTTTCGTGATATATGCTGTCAAGAGTTCAGGCAAGGTCATGGTATATTTTGTCAATACCACCACCAAATTAAGGAACTTTGACCATACCTTCAGCAGGTACCTCATGTAGAAGCGTCCTGGAATACAGTTATCTGTACTGACATTCCATCACAAGGCTGTCCCGTTGTAGATGGCCCATCATGGCATTACAGATAATGCTGTATAGTAGGGAGTAACAGTTTTGCAAAAATTTTCAAAATCTAATTGCTTGGGTTGGATTATTTGTCTATCGGCCACGCTAATTCCGAATATGTTTGAGTTTTTTACATCATTGCATTAGAAGGTTTGTGGATACTTTTGGGTTTAAGTATGAAAACGAA